CCCCCCCTTTTAATCAAGAAACCCCTTTCACCTACTTTTTCCAAAAAGAGAGGATATCAGATTTCCTAGAAATATTCACATATTAAATTTTAATTTGAATAAAAATCAATAACCTAAATAAAGCAAAATAAGGTAGGTTTAAATATTGCGCTGGCCTGCCAAACTGACTTCCCCAGGGAAGTATCTAAAGAGTTGTTTTTGATTTACTCAGAATACACACACATCCATAAAATAATACCACCCCTTCTTTGGCATCTGTGAAAGCTGAGAAGCCTTGTGTGGAGGTGTGGGGGTCAAATCGGAAGGAGGGACTAAGAGAGAAAATGATTTCATGGCAGGCCCACCTGTAGAGGGTTTGGGCAGATGCCGCTCCATCTCCAGGAAGGCTGCCTTGATCTCTCTGCTAAGGTGGAACTTGCTGGCCTTGCTTCTGAGCATCTGGATCTTCGCTTCTGTATTGGCAGAGAAACAGGATCACACATTTTAGGGCTGGAAGAGAAAGCAGAACACCTGTGGTCTAAGCTTCTGCCCAGTGCAAATATGCGCTTTACCATCTTGGGGAGATGACTGCTGGTGGTAAACTGGGCCATGTCAGGGACAGGGAGCTGATTAGCTCTACCTTCCACATTCTGTGGATTCCTCTCTTACTGAAGGGGAGAGAGAGAGCTCATTCCAGTTTGTGTTACAAAAAGATCTTGATTAGATAGTCCTCTCCTGTACCTTGGCCAGTGGATGCGAACCTTCCACCCACCGGTTCAGTTCAGGAATGGGCATTTCTCTCTCACAGCAATGCTATTCTAGACCAAATACAAAGACCTGTCTCAGAGGTCCCCAGAGCCTATGATAATGTGACTCAAGGAGAACACCATTCCCAACACGGTTTATTTTCAGATGGAAGAAGGAGAGGGACACCATGCATAAGAGGTAAAGAATTATCTAGTTTGTTTGTGTGTCAAGGGATATTTTTTTCCATAATGGTAAATTTCCGTTTTTTATACATTTCTAAACCAGTTTTAGCACTTAACATGCACTTCACATTAATGTAGCTTTTTGGATCTCAGATTCTGAGAGGATTTGGCATTCGTTTAGGTTGGAAATTCTGCCTTCCAGAGGTCACATGGCAGCTGTTCACCAAGCACAAGATTTTGCAGGTCAGTAAATCATGAGACATGTTTTCAACACCTAGTCCATGAATGGGGCATATCAGAAACATGAAGATTTGTAAGGAAATGGTCCATGCTTTTGTGTCGCTCACAGACCAACGAAAAAGACAGACATATGCACCAATTAAAAAAATAACTAAAAAATAATCACAGTACACCATGATGAGTGCTATTGTGGGGTCAGGCACACAGAGAGCAGGCCTTAAGAACTGATAAACTCTGTTCAAAGGATTGGTGAAGGCATCCCATGGGCAAGTTCATGCTGAGTGTTGAAAATGAATAGGACTTGGGCAAATCGCAAGGAACAGAGGCCCAAGGAACAGAGAATGCAAAAGCACAAAGGTGTAAAAGGTATGGGGCACCTGAGGATGCGTTACAATAATAGCTATAGAAAGGTGGTGTCTTAAATGGTAAGTTACCAAGGAGAATGAGGATTTCGACTCTTATCAGAAGTTGAAATAACCACCCATAGTCTTTATGAGCTGGAGAATGAATTTAAGACTGATCATCCCTCAGTTGTCTCTCTTCCTCCCCCCTTTCAGCTCTACCTTCCAAAGACTCACGATCTAATAATCCCTCTATTTGCACAGCACTGTACAGATTGCTAGCAATTTTCATATGCACTGTGCTACCTAATTCTTATCACAATTCAGTTAGGGCCTTCAACCTGAGTTCTTCCACTAGGCTTCACCAACTCTGTGTGTGTATGTGTGTATGTGGGTATGTGGGTGTGTGTGTGTGAGAGAGAGAGAGATCGAGAGAGAGGCCTCTTCCCTTCACCTTGAAAATACTAACTCCACTTCATATTGCAAAGAGAACACATTGAAAAGGTCAGGGAAATAGAGAAATTTTCAAGGACAGAGACAGATTCAGACATCAAAATATTTATTCAAAGGTGAAATGAAAATATTTTGCTATAAAAGGAGACAAAGTTCTATGGATTTGAGTCTCCTGTGCTGCTGGCCCTTTCAGCTAACAAAGATCCCCCCAAGCTGGGAGGAAAAAAGCCTGAAACCTTCAAGTGAGATTTTAATTCAATTAGTGTCTTACCAATTTGATGCAGCAACCAAGGACCTATGGTGTCTGATTAATATGCTGATGCTAAGGCTAAAGAGTGAACAGAATACCCATTTGGATAAGGCCTGGCAGCAAAGCGTGGCATTGCCATGGAAACCACAGAAGGCCATTAATTAGCTATCAAATAAAATCATTGGAAAATTCTGGACCCTGGCATATCTGCTCCCTTCAAAGAGGAGGCCAAGAAGAGGTCACACTAACAGCAAGGCTCCCTTCGGTGATTAACATCATAGGAGCACTGAGACTACATGTCACCAAGTAGGAGAAAAATTGGGAAGTATGGACACAATAGAATGGAAGAAGCTTTGGGTTATCCAAGTACAAGAATACAATTTTTAAAATGGAGCATCTTGTTAGATTGTCTGTGCTGATAAAATTATCTCATTGACAAACATTTTCTCCTATTCTCTTTTCTGTAGAAAGAAGGAATAATATGGTTCCACTAGATGGTGATAAATGATTGGGGGAAGAGAGCATAGAGTCAAAGGGTGGGAAGAGATTAACCCCTAAAATAACAGATAAAGCTTGTATAACTTTTAAATTAATAGGGAAAAAATTTACAAACAAAAGCAGAAAAGGAGAAAAATTTATTAAAATGTCTGGACACATAGGTATAATAACAATACTTAGCACATCGATAATCACAATAAATGTAATTGGACAAAACTGGTCATTAAAAAGACAGAGGTAGTCAGCCTACAAGTTACGAATTAAAACATAAAGAGAAAGGTTGGAAATAAAAGGATAGGTAAAGACATACTAGGTAAAGATTAACTAAAAGGAAGTTGATGTAGCACTGTTAACATCAGTCAAAACAGACTTTAAGGCAAAATACATTATTAGACCAGTTTACCAAGGGAAGTGGAGAAGGGAGTGGACAGGTACAACCACAGGCTTTAAGAGCTAGAAGGGTCATTCAAGATCTGTCAGTCTTCAACCTTCAGAGATGAGGAGCTATACCCAAAGTTATTCTACAAGTTTGAACACTGAGCATGAATTGAGTTCCCTTTTCACTATCTCAAGTATATTTTGGCTTAGAGCACATATCAAGTTAACGTAGTTCATACATGAGAATCCTGCCCTCAGGGAAGGCAATTTTTAACATAGGGTAAATATCTTGTTGGTAGTTATAGTCACTTTAATAAAATCCCAAATACACAAAACCCCAAATGTATTCAGTAGATATATTCTTTGTAAGTACTAATAAAAAGAAAAGTCTTTAAACTGGAAAGTAATGTGCTTGGTTAAAGGATGGGCAGGAATGCATTGATAAGTATTGCATCACCAGTAGTTACAGAGCCTAGTTTACTGCACCTGGAACAATAGTTCATGAAGTTTAAAGGACAGAGTGCCCGTCCTCGTCAGTTCAGTGTACTGTAACAAAAACACCACAGACAGCAAACATTTGTTTTTCACCTTTCTGGAGGCTGGAAAGTCCAAGATCAAGGTGGTGGCAGATTTGGTGTCTG